AATAAAATTGTCACTCTCTCTTTCCTTTAAAAAAACTACTAAGCACCCATACATAGTATCTTTCTGATGAAAAATGAACGAATATGCACAACTTCGTGAAACCGGTGAAAACCGGCCGGTCCAACTCACTCAACAACTCTGGACTGTGGGCAGCAGACCACTGGGCTTTGCCTTGGGTGGGTTCGATGAGTCTGTCCGGTGATTGTCTGAGAAACACATAAAGCTTTATTACTGTTATCACAGACAATAATATTGTATGCAGAAAAATGATGATATTTTCTTGCGTTTTATCGCAAAAATTTTTGTTTCTGCGGAAAAACGCAGAAGAAATTCATGCGTAGGATGTTACGTGAGACACGAAAACTTTATTACAGGTTTTTTCAAAACAACGGACCACAATTTTTGCAATTTTTTGCAAAAAAATCTCTCGAAATTTCAACATGGGTACCCTTCATCAACATTTAGCGTAAGAACGTACATTGAAGACAGCCGAAGATGACATCTGTTAAAGTTTTTGTACAGTTGTTGTTCAGTTGGCTGGTGTTGTAGAGGATGCCATTGTATGGTTCTGGTAATGTATGCTGTATATTGTCAAGTAGTCAGCTAATTTGTTATTTTTACAAAATAGTACTATCAGTAAAAGGTTATCAAAAACACATATTAAAAAAATAATAACATAAAATAAAACAAATACACATCGGTCAGTTATGTCCACAGAGTAATAGGTATTAAACCTTCCTTCGTCGTTATGGCTGGCATAAAATTTTCCTCACATCGAAAATCAAGTGGAATTTCTACAACGACACCTGTTATCTCTTTCAAACGCTGATGAGCCTATAACCAAAAGAAACCCGATAAACCGTGCATAAATGATAAGTACATCAAATTCTCAGTCCTCGTTTCGATTGCAACGCTCACCCTCTCCGGATCAGTGGTAGCCATTCTTGGCGATGTATAATAGTCTGCATTCCTTCCAAGATGACGAACACGATCACTAGGTACTGTTTTGAATACCTACAAATTAAATAAATTTCGTGTAGACATGTTTATTTCAGACTTTAATAACCTTTATTCGATAACAAGAGACTCCTTAATCCAACATGACTCAAATAACGGTTAAAGTCGCATCATAATTAGCATTTCGTTTAATGCCAATAATTTTTTTCAAATAGTATGAATATAAGGTATGCAGAATTCAAGATTTTCTTCATCAGGATTCAACTTTTAAGCAATAAAAGTATCATATTTGGAGTCAGCGTAAAATAATGAGTTGAACGATATATATTTCGAAAATTGAGAATTACGGGCAGAATTCCGATTTTTGGTCATCATATTTGGAGTCAGGGTAAAATAATGAATGATGTACTTTTTTTATCCTTTCCGACCGCCTTATTTTTTTTGAATTTTTACAGAATTTCGATTTTTGCTCTTCTGATTTAGAAAAAATGACTTTTCTCTGTAATAAAGCAAAATAAAAAAAGTGATAGGCACTTTTAAAGCTCATTCAATGGCGGTTCGAATGAAGTAAAAAGGTCAGCTTTATCTCTTCACAAAAAACACTAGATAGGTTTGTAAAATTCTTTATGAACTTTTTACGAGGGAAGTCGAAGACGTTCATACTGGATTGGTCTTTGACTTCAACCTCGATCAAACATCATTCTCATACTCAGTTTTTAATGCTGAATCAGAAAAAAATACTTTCGAAAAGTTAGAGGAACACAAAAGACGAAAGTTTGAAATGTTTTGAAACTAAGCCGGTTTTTTGAATTTTTCTCACTTAAACTTTGTCCAAAAAAGTTAAAAAGCACATATTCGTGACCAGGTCATCAAGCTCTATCCAACTACATATAATAAACGAAAAACGTAATCCGCTTGAATTCTGCATACCTTATATTCATACTATTTGAAGGAGCGTAAAAGGCGAAATAATCGATGATATCAGCTTTCGATAGATGTGTCCAACCTGATGTGAAATAAAAACTATTTTAAAACGTTTGAAACTTTCAGACTAATTTCTCTCACAGTAGAATATATTTTAACGATCAAAAACTAGCTGATTTTCTTTAATGTTTGAGAATTGTTTGAATTCCTCTAATTCTGAATATTTTCTTTTCCAGCGACAATTTCGGTGCTGTAATCAGAAATTTCTCTCTTAAAAGTGGAAACCGATCAGGAATAAGAACTACAAAACTTTCGACCTAACATCAATTTCTCTTCTTTAAGAGCGAGAAAAAGTTTCTTTTACTTACAGATGTCTGGGATTTCTCAATTTCACAACGACTGATAACTTCTGTCTCCGGAAATTAAGATACGATACATGTTTTTATTGATAAAGTCTTAGCAGTTCATCAAAATGAAGATTTGCTTGGATTAGACTTCTAATAATTTGATTACGCTATTACTCACCTCTTCAAAAATAAGTGTATTGTTCCGTGCTATTTTACGAAAATATGTATAGAATTCGTCCGAAACTGGATCACTAATGTCAATTTTATCTGGATTTCTATGCTGGATACCTAACAACATCCTTACGTTCAGAAAAAGCAAAAAATTATGATTAGTGAATTATTCGCGACTATATATATTTACATGTATCATACCCAAATAGTTTCTTTCTCCAACCTGAACAAAATTTTCCACATTCAACTTCTTGTCCATTCATTATCCCTCGCTCGAACTCGATGTCTTCAATTACGATGGCTATTTCACTATCTCGATCGCCTAACAACGATCTATCATTAATATTTGCCGAACCACATATACACCAGCTATCATCAACAATCATAAGTTTTGAATGAACATAAATGATCTCCGTTACCTTAGGTAAACCGCAATATCGACAACATATATAAAATCTAATTTGAAGTATTTTTTTATGAACGCTTTTAAAATACGTTTAATACACACTAACAGTCGGAAATGCTGTATGTTCTGGATTTCAAGAAAAGTTTTAGAAGTTAACAGAAAGTATTTGGTTTCTGAGAAGATTTTCTAGAAATCTCTGGAAATAACAGAATTTTTTTCGAATCTTAAATGTAATTTTACATTTAGCATACAAAATGGAGTATTACATTGAAATTTTGCTGTAGGTAAAGGGGTTTTTGACTGAGTTATAAACTTTTTAATTTTCGTTGAAAATAGTCAAAAACGGATTTTATCTTGTAGATGGAAGTCCAATGATTCGAGTCCACGTTTCAGCATTCAAAATCGAAACGATTTTAGGGAAAGGGACCTTACCTAAAAGGTATTGATGAGGTACAACATCTTTTGCTAGACTACATTTTATCCAATTTTCCATAGAAAGTCATAAAAACTCTTTCCTACAGAATGGCGAAAACCGTAATTCTATAGCACTTTTCAGTCAAAAGTTATTCAAACAAGACCAGATCTCTTGTATTTTGAAATGACTATTATCAACTATACAAGCTCTACCAGTTGGCCGTATCAACTTTTAATTTCCAGCGGTTAGTGTATATTAAACGATAGTGGCGTATTTTACAAATACTCATAGATACTAGATACATACCAATGTTCCCATGAGAATATCGTGTCCACGCATGCCGTAAAATGTGATATAATCATCTGATTTAATACCTGTCTCAAAATACAAGTTACTTTCAGATTAGACAGTACCGTCTTCCTACTAACCTGCATCTTTTAATCTGCTGCACAACGAATTACCATCTTTGGATATTGATCTCATTGTTAAATACAGTACCGCTTCAATAGCATTTTCAGTATTAAAACCGGGTAGTAATGGTAGCACCACATAGACACGAAATTTTTCATGATTTCTATAATTATAATATCTTAGTATGATAAATATCATTTTTTCATACTATTTACATATTTGCACGAAGTATTCGTTTATAAAGCGCATCACCAATTTGATTTCGAACATTAGGATCATTATTGATGGAAATGAAAAATTGGTTCTAAGAGTGATGATTAGATATGAAATTCATTGATGAAAATGGCAAATAAGCCTACTTCAATATAAATGTAATACTTGGCTGTGTCAATTAATTGGATATAAGCATTTAAAATAGAACACTCGGTTACTCGTATACCGGCCGACCATGTACTCGAAGAACGAACAAACTAGAAGAAAAATCTATGTTAAGAAGTAATAAAAACAAACCTTATTCAAAAATGTTTCATTGAGTATACAGGAGAAAGAATAAAAAAAGAAAAAGATTGAAAGCAAGAAAAAAAAAATGATCACCGGTGTACTTGAGTTTTTAAAGCGCGTTTGGATGAATTGAAAGAAGAAGAAAAAACTAATTGCCATAGCAGTTAGTTCCAGTTTACTTCTGTACGATAAAAGAAGAAAGAAAAGATGTGAGCTTTAGTAATGTGTGGCACAAACACTTAAGGGCCCCCTCAGAAAAAAACTTTTTTGTCTTACATCCGATTTTGATGCTACTTTCAGCAAATGTTTACCATATCAAAGTGTGGTTATAAAATTTCTTTTCCTTGCTACCTCTTACCGTTCCGAGGTTTTCCAGAGTCCAAGGGCAAAAATACCCCATTTTTTT